GCGGGGGCGGCCCTCCGGTCGTGGGCCGCGGAACTGGCGACACCTCCGTCGTCGGCTGGGCGCCCATCTTGCGGAGGAGCCTGCGCGGCCTGCGCCCAGCGGACAACCCTCGGGAGCCAGGGACAGCCCTTGCGGTGCGGGCCTTAAACAGTTAAGGGTTTGTTTTCTTTGGTTTTCTTTCGGGTCAAACTCCCGGGCCACTTCCTGGTTCCCGACCTCCGACCGTCACCTCCGCCTGGGTTGCCCTCTGCCCGCAGCTGCCTGAGAGACAGTCTGGCCCGTGAGTAGCCATTCGCTGAAACCGAGCTGAGAAAGTGGTACTTGCCAAGTGACTTTTGGCGACTTTGTACCGAGGGCTGGGGAAGGGGAGCTGAGGGACTTGAACTTTGATTCAAAATCGAACAGTCCCAAGTTGCCCCAGCTCCCCTTGCCGTGATGGCAGCCAATGTGGTGAAATTACCTGGAAAGGTGATTTTTATGCTAGCGTATTCCCAACATGTCACCGGTCAACGTACGGATCTTCCCCGTTTAAAGGCCAGATGTACAGATTGCACCTAGGTTTTTAGGGGTCATTCTAAATCAAAGGGGGGAGGGGGAGTGTGGATTTCAGACTTCTCTGGGTTGCTTTTGCCTCTGTAAAGGCAGGCAGATACGGCACTACTGGCAAGGGTATTGATGCTTTGCTCTGTTCTCCCAAGTCAGCTCCAACCAAAGGCACCAGGCGCACAGGATTCCCCCTCCCCTTCACCGCCACCACCTGATCCTCACGTTTGACAGAATGCTTCAGGGTCACATAGCACATTTCCCCATGATCCGTTTGGAAGATGAAGGTTGGGCAAAATTTCAAGCGCAATTACATTGGATCCATCTAAGTTTTCACTTAAGTTTCTACCCTACCACACCCAAGTAGCTTTAATCCTTTGCACGTGTACATTTGACAGTTCTGAGTTCTGTGGGAGAAGAAAACACAAAACGATGAATGTGTATTTGATTGGGTGCAATGCACTCCACTAACAGTTTATATGCAAACAGGCTTGGCAGCTTCTCAGCTATGGGGCTTTGGGCAAGTCACTTCTCGGTGCCTATGAGTTTCCTCGTGTTAATGATAATAATGTTCAAGCTCAGAGTGCTTGTAAAGATTAAATCAATAGATGCATAGAAAGTATATAAACCCACTGCCGCCTGGTCAGTCGTGCAGGGTTCCTTGTGCTTCTCCAATGGAGCACCTTGAGACGTTGAACTCCTAACCCTGCAGTTTGCACCCAGCTTCTTGGGAAGTTTCTATACATAAATCACATTATATATATGTTACTATATCTAAATGTGTGTAACCACTGCTATCAAGTCAATTCTGACTCCAAGCAACCCTATATAAGTGCTAAATAAGGCTGCCGCTACTGAGTTTTAACTTTCCCTTTATAGAGGTCTGAGGTCACAAAGTTAGTGAGATGCCCACATTCTTGTCCATGATGCAAGCGAATATATCAGTAGTCTCACCATTGGTAATTGGAAGAGAGCTTCTGATAAAGTGAGTGCATTCAACTGAGAAAAGTTTCCAGCTGTTTAAACACCTGCAAATTAAAGACAATCTGTACTTTCAGTAAAGGGCACAGGGAATGCAGCATATAAAGGAAAACCTGTCCTCTTAGATTGACTTCCCTGGGAAGCCCTCCTGGTTGTGTGTGTCCTCAGTTGAGAGCAGAATCGACAAACGGGCTGCCTCAGTTAGGGTCCATCTTATCTGCTGTGGTGCTGTTCCCGGCATCCAGGGAACCTTTAAGGTGTCCATCTCTTCTAGTGCCTTCATGGGTGAGAAAGCGAGAACGTTCTCTAAGCAATTCTTGGAATCCATTTGCATTTACAACTGGTAGTCTTTGAGCTGAGGTACATCGTGTTCTGCATAGCATCCTGTACCTCGATTTATTGTGGGGTTTGAAGAGATTAACTCTAGTTCAAGGGGTCATGTATTTTGTGTCACGTGGAGGAAAAATATTCTCTAGTCAGATTGGGGAGATGTGGAGGCAAACGAAAGCATTTTTGCCCAAGTTAATGGTCCATGGAAAATGATGGGAACGTTCTGGTCACTGTTCTAGTCACAGAACCTGTAGGAGGTGGTTGTAACCCTCTTGTTCAGCCTTTGATCACGCACAAGGCAGTTTCTCTGTCCCTTGATCCCTGCAGTTGCCTTTGTTCACTGCTTAGGCCTGCTGACATTCCACTGGCTCTCTTCTGAGGAGATTTTGCAGTGACTCATAGTCACTGTGACATCTCCACTTCACTGGACTTCCTTTTAGTGTCAAGATAGCAAAAGCCTGATTGTTATGAAAAGCGAATTGAAATGTTAGTATGTTCATTGTTGCTAGGACCTATCCATTATCATCGCTCAAAACCCAGACTTTAAAATATTGATATTAATATGTACTGATTTTTGTTTGTAGCTCTCCTTTTCAAAGCCCTGGAAAGGAGAAGCAGCAGAATAATTGCATCTGCTCGATGGAAAACAAATGGCTCTGAAACAATAACATTTAACTAGAGGCTTAGTCATCTCTACCCATGTATGCATGGCCAGTCATTCCTTCCTACACACCAAACATATCCACCCACTCATGGCTACTACTTGAGACTTTAGGCCCAAGGCTTTTATCATTCTTTCTAGTGAGGAAGTTACAGCGCTCTTTTTTTTTCTTGGTGGAGGGATAGAGGTAGGGTGATTTCTGAAACAAGTACAGAACAAATGTACAACAGGGTAGTTGATAATTAAGGGCCAAAGTGTGTCCTTAGGTGTAGACATAAATGCTACAGTAATCATACAACCCAAACCAAACCCACTGCCATCAAGTTGATTCTGACTCAGAGAGACTCAGAGATAGGGTTTCCAGGAATGTCATTTTTTCAGGATCAGGCTGACTCATCTTTCTCCCACAGAACTGGTGGATTTGAACCACCGACTTCTCAGTTAGCAGCCCAATGCTTATTCATGGAGGAGGCAGGTACCTAGACTATGCCCTGAGAGTCATGAAATAGAAGTGAGTCTGGTATTTGGGGGTGTTTATTGACATAGGGTAAAGCCTACAGGTAGGATCGGAGTTTTATAAGAAGTTGGCCTCGTATAAAAAAAAATAAAGTTATTATGGATTCTTAAATGGGGACCTGCTTTAGGAGGGTGAATCTGGGTCTTACATTCTAATCGATTAACTAGGGGAAGAGGCTAGTGACCAGTTTTGATAATGGAGTAATTCAGACATCATGGTGACACGGATTGAGAAGGGGCAGGGTGAAAACGAAGAACCAGAAATGGTGTGAAGAAAGAAGGCTAAGTTTTCAGAGTGCATCACTAAAACCAGATATCTTCTTAAGTCTCTAAATGTAGTTTCTACTTTACTTTTAGGGAAGGTAAACCAATGGTGTTAAGAGAAAGCAAAAATAACATCCAGATCGTTGTCTTGGAATTAAAAGGATGGGTTTGTCTCAATTAATTCTTCTGGCTAATTTCTAAAGTATAGGGCTCTTTCCTGATATACATCAGACTGCATCCTGCACTCTGTGCTCTGCCAAAGGGGAAATACAGGAAAGTTGCACCTTAGAACTATGTAGGGCCCAGAAGATTCGATGATACAAAATTTGTTTGGAATTACTTGGCAGTCAGATCTAGGGCTGGACAGAGGCCGGGAAGCAATTACCAGTGGTGTTAGAGCCCAGGCTGCCTGCTGGAGGAGAAGCAAGGTCTCCACCGTGGCTCCATTAACATCCCAACTCACCGGGATCACCCCCGGTCTCTCACAGCCCCAAACTTCCAAACACGAACACCTGCTTCTGAAAATACCCAGCCACTATGAGTAACCTTTCACAGCAAGCTGAAAATGGGTTCTTTTGCCCTCAAAACAGGTATTGATACAAATTTAGAGAGCAGCACACCTAATCTGAGCTTCAGAATCTTCCCTTTCAAAATGGAAGTTGCTTTTCACCAGGGAAAGTGGCCTGCACGTATCTGTCATAGCCGTTTCTGGCCACTAGACACTCTTGTGCAGTTTCCTGCTGGCTCTAGCTGTATGAATGCCCAGAACCCGAGGCCACTGCTGAGCTTTCTGTAGTGCTAGGCCTACGTGTTCACAGCTCCGCCTGGGCCTTAGTTCCGTATCTACCAACAGACATCTGTCAGGTTCGGTTCTGCTTGGCGGTTGCTAGTGTCAGGTCACGTAGCTCCGTGGAAAACCATTCAAACCCAGAAAGTCACACTGTGTCCTGTGCGTGGGTGCTGCAGGCTTAGGTGGAGAAAATCAGGGATAGGATTGGAACCCAAGGCCCAGAATGGCAGGAGAGGATGTGGGGGCTCCACCAGATCACCTCTGGGTTCACCAAGAGGGTATCTACCGCGACGAGTACCAGCGCACGTGGGTTGCTGTCGTGGAAGAGGTAACTGTTTCCGTTTTTCCTTATTTTGCTTTCAAGCAGCTTGATTTCTCTCCAGTCTCCGTTTCTGAAGTCTTTGGTTTTGTTTCTGATCATCCCTTTCCTTAGGAGACAAGTTGCCTCAGGGCACGAGTCCAGCAAGTTCAGGTCCCCTTAGGTGATGCAGCTAGGCCAAGCCACCTCCTGACCTCCCAGCTACCGCTCATGTGGCAGCTGTACCCCGAGGAGCACTACATGGATAACCAGTCTCGCTTGTGGCAGATAGAGCATCACTTAATGGTACATATTCTGTTTCACTGCCTCAAGTTGCGTGGGACTCCTCATGAGTCCTCTATAAACATCTTTCCCTGACAGGTCAGGGGAGTACAGGAGCTGTTGCTGAAGCTTTTGCCTCATGATTAACCTGGTATGTATTTCTATCTCCTCCCAACCCACCTCCTTCCTTTTGTATTTTTTTTCTCTACTTGGTTACGGGGATTCTAATGACTTATTTTTCTTTCAGGTGCTGGGATTATTGGAAGAAATGCTCCTTTATTCAATTCAGTATATGGCAATCACATCGTACTCCACTGCAGTGCACCCACCCTGGGCCTGAGGGGGAGGGAGTGGGCTGAAGAACTGATGCAGAAAGTTTAGGAAGGGTCATGAAACTGCAGAGCCAGGGTTACACAGGCAGAAACCGTTAGTCAGGATCCAGCGACTTGAAATTGACTCCTTTGGAAATTGCTGTAGAACCTTTCATGGACATCGTCGGCCGGGACTGGGATCTGATGAATCCCACAAAAGTCAACACGTGCTACAGAACAGATGCTCTGACCGCCAAGGACTTGGTACTGATTTAGAGAAGAGAGCAGCTCCTGGCAACATCAACATCTATTTGTTGCTAATTTTCCCTGCAATAATCCACCGTCCTTTCCTTCTCCCATCCTGTAAATCTCCGAGTTTTTGCTCCAGTGTTGCCCATCCCACTCCTGACCTAACTTGGGGTGGTGGTGGGGTGGTGGGGAGGAGTACTCACCTTGATAAAAATAGCTGCAAAGGCTCCTGGGCCTTTTTCCTTCCCGAAATTGTGTCTTCAAATGATTAGGAGTCACTGATCAAAATCGGGAGCAACTTCAGCACATTCTCTGGTCACAGAGACTTTAGGCTGGTTTGGGCCTGAGCACCAAACAACCTCTTAGCTGCTTTTCACTGGGACAGTTCTCAGGAAGTCATAATAGCACCAAACATTGCTGCTTCCTGGGAAAGCACTTCCTGAACCGAAGTAGGCAGATAGTTTATATGCATTGGGAGGAAGGGTGGTTCACGTAGAAAAAGTTCTTCCACGTATTGAGTCCTTGCTGTCTTCCAGGCACTATTATATGCACTTTATCTCCTCAATCCCATTCAGTCCTTCTACCAGTGCTTTGCACAGAAGTAATAAGCACCAAGAGGCCAGGAGTTTAGTCATTCACCCACTTAACCTGAGGGCATTGGTTACCATGGTAACGATAAATTGATTGAATTCAAGTTGTTTTGTTTGGTTTTTCATGTATAGCTTTTTATAACTCCCAAATCTAATGAAATGGATATTATCAAAATATAGTCTATTCGTCCTCTGAATGGGAAGAGTACTTTTTTAAAGTGTAATTATTTTCCAGGAGTTGTAAGAAAATACCATGTAAAAGGGGATTTCAAGTCTTTATGGGCATAAAGGCAAAGTAAACATCTTTTCTTTTTCTTTTTTAGTGTTCTAGATATGCCACAGAAGGATCCGTGCCAGAAGCAAGCCTGTGAGATACAGAAATGTTTACAAGGTAGTATGTGCGTGCTGTTCAGTGTCTGCCCGGCATTTCTGTGAAGGGACTGGAGGAGCTCCGTGGCTGCAGTGTGGGAGGGCTGAGGACTGCAACTTACCATCAGGCACTTCCTGTATAACAAGCCACTCCCACCAAGATCAGAGCCTTGGAGATGCTTCTGTCCTGCAGGGTCACTATGAGCTTGGAACTGGTTTGACGGCAGTGGGGTGGGTTGAGATAGGTTAGATCTGGTGAGCATGACATGTTCCCTTGTAAGTGCTCTAAGCACATTAAGTCATTTAATCCTGTAATCATTAAGATGCTATTGTGACCACATTTTAAAGATGAGAAAACAGGCTCAGAGGCAGAATCTGAACCCAGATCTTAGTGACTTCATCTTTCTCATCAGAATGGTCTTCCTACCCCAGACTAACTCCTGCACACCCGCATGAGTACTGGGGAACTAGACCCCGATGCCATTAACTGTAGCTGACCTAGAATCGTAGGTCAAAATAAAAAACAAAACCACACACCTATTGCTCTGAAGTCAATCTTTAAGGAAGCAGATCACCACATTGCTCTCCTGAGGAGCAGCTGATGGGTTTGAACCACTGACCTCTGGTCAGCAACTGAACTCTTTTTTTTAAATTTTTCAATCATTTTATTGGGGGCTTGTACAATTCTTACCACAATCCATGCATACATCCATTGTGTCAAGCACATATGTACATTTGTTGTCACCATCATTCTCAAAACTTTTGCCTTCTACTTGAGCCCGTAATAACGGCTGCTCATTTTTCCCCTCCCTCCCCACTCCCCCCTCCCTCGTGAACCCTTCATAATTAATAAATTATTATTTTGTCATATGTTACACTGTCCGACGTCTCCCCCCCCCCGCCCTCTTCTTTGCTGTCCATCCCCCAGGGATGAGGCTATAGATAGATTCTTGTAATCGGTTCCCCCCTTCAACCCCACATTCCCTTCACCCTCCAGGCATCGCCACTCTCACCAATGGTCCTGTAGGAGCCATCTGTCCTGGATTCCCTGTGTTTCCAGTTGCTATCTGTACCAGTGTACATCCTCTGGTCTAGCCAGACTTGTAAGGTAGAAGCAACTGAACTCTTAACCACTGCAGGGCTCCTCTGAATCCTAGGTCAAGTCTCTCTTACTAAAGGGTATACTAGAAGTGGTACAGTGGTTTAAGAATTGGGCTGCTCACTGAAAGGCTGATGGTTCAAATCCACCAACTGCCCTTCAGAAACCCACAGGGCAGTTCTACTCTGCCCTAGAGAGTTGCCAGGCATTGAAATCCACTTGGTGGCGTGGTTTGGTTTGGTGAGAGGTTGGCAAATTTTTGTTTTAAATACCAGTCTTTGGAGATCTAAAGTTCTCTGCTGCGTATTGCATGTGGGCTCATAAAACCCTTTAACCATGTAAAAAGCATTCTTAGCTCATAAGTTGTGAAAAGGATGAAGATGAATTTGGTCCTTAGTCTGTAGTTTGCAGAACTTGGGAGAGGAGGTTTAACCTGAGCCAAACTCACCACCATTGAATCAATGCCGACTCCCCAGGACCCTTTCGGACTGGGGAGAACTGCCACTGTGGCTTTCCGAGATGGGAACATTTTCTGGGAGTAGAAAGCCTCCTCTCTCCTGTGGAGCAACTGATAAGTTCAAACTGCTGACCTTGCACAACCTGGACCCAGTGCACCAGAGCTCTTTAACAATCACCTTTGATTGATGCAAAATACTTTTCTAGTTCATCAAATTAACAAAAGGGGTTAGTGACACCCCCAGCCCCCTCCCAAAAAAACAGGTCACAAGCACCCTAGTACAATATATAAGCCATTAACTCACCCTGTGAAACTGTTAAGTCTCTAACCCAGAACCTGGGGACTGGGGTACCTCCTCTTGCTGCCAGCTTGCTAAATGACCTTATCCCACAAGATCATGGCCAGGGTATGCCCATCTGTTTTTCAGCCAACAACTACATGGAATCTAAATGTCAGGCTGTCATCCAAGAACTGCAGAAATGTTGTGCTCAGTATCCCAAGGGAAGATCCGTCATCTGTTCTGGGTTTGAAAAGGAAGAAGAAGTAAAGCTGACATGACAGAATCACAGGAGAGTCGGGTTGTGAGGTTGACTGCTGCTCCAGGGTTACACCAAGTTCTGTTCTCCTCCTGCCCCTTTCTGCAGGCCAGTGAGCAGCAAATAACACCTGAAAAGTCCACTGTCAAAGTGAATGGATATGCCATTGATGTAGAACAGACAAAATACAAATATACTAAAATAGAAATGTAGACTATAATAAAATAAGATACAGAATGTAATAAATTGAGCTGCTAAAATAAACTTGTTTTCAATGAAACATTTCTGTTTGGTTTAATGATCCCTAACTTATCACAAAGGAAAGGATAAATTATTCACCTGAAGTCTTTCAGGCAGCAAGAAAATTAGAATTCGCAGGTGTTGTACCCCCTCCCTTCTCTTTGAATCAAAGCCTACTACAATTCATGTAGATGCCTTTCTAAGCAAGATAACAAATTCTGATAAATCCCTGATGGTCCAAATACCATTCTTATTTGAGACCAACTGTGCTTTAACTCAGTGTTCCCTAGGACCTGCTAAAACATGAAAGAAGGCTTCTGTGGTCCAGTCTGGGGAATGCTAAGTTAGGCAAAAGTAACAGGCTTCTTTCCTGTATGTCATCAGAGCTTTTCATATGCACGCTGGAATGATGAGTTTTCACATTGACTTGGACAAAGAGTGCCTGTGATGATCAAAGTTGTATGCCAACTTGGCTGGGCTATGGTCCTCAGCAGTTTGACAGCTACATAATGATGTAGCTGGGCAGTTAAATAATGATGTAATCATCCTCAGTGTGAGCTGATGTGATTAGCTGCATCTAATATATGAGGGCTCTTCTAAAAGTTTGTGGAAAAATTCCATTAACTTTTTGTAGCTCCCCCTCCCCTAGTATATATGGACATTCTGGCAAAATTTGTTCACTTGCTCTGGACCATGCATCCAGCTTGTCATCATCTAATAAGCCTACAAGCCAATAGTAGCCTGCCATCTGACCTGCCAATCTTGTGTTCAGCAGGCATTGCAGCCACCTAAATGAGAAGAAGCCTCCAATCTGACACCTGATCCACAGACTTAAGACTTGCCAAGCTTTACAATTGTGTGAGTCGTTCTTGTTTTGAGACAAATCCCCCCCCCCTTCTCTCTTTCCTCTTTCTCCTTACTTTCTCCTCCTCACCCCCAAAAGATGTGTTGTGAATCCTAACCCCCGTGTTTTAGTTTATATGAATGAGACAGGATTAATGTGAAGTTTTGAGTCCATCTCTTTTGAGACAGAAAAGAGGTTAAACAAGCAAGGAGCAAGTGAGATACCAGGCCTCATGAAGGCCCAAGAACCATTCAGAAGAGACCAGGACCTTCCCCGAGAGTCAGCAGCCTGCATTATGACATTAGCCTCCCAAACTTTGAGAGAATCACTTGTTTCATGTGGCTCTTCTAGCCAAAGTCTGTAACTCCCACCAAAGGACATTTCCCTGCATGGGGCTGGGTAACAAGTCGGGGGAAGATACCGCTAGGATTCATTTGTGAGCAATTGCAAACAGGATTCCCTGGAATAGCATCTATGTTAGGGTTCTCTATAGAAACAAAACCAGGACACTAATAATTTTATATATATTTAGATAACATAAGAAATAAACAGCGAATTAACCTATAAAGCAGTACAAATGGCTCAGTACAACTCATTCCCGTGAGACACTGGCAGTCCTTCAAGTCTTGAGGGCTGCCAGGTAGTCCTCTGTAGAGCAATTCAGGCTATCCGGCTACAGGCAGCAAACAGCAAGGTAGGTCACCAACAGTCAACCACATGACAGGGTCTGACAGTCCCCAGCTCAAGAGTCGTAAATTCCAATAGTGTGGCAAATATTGGCACGATAAACGTTAACTATCTCGGCATCCTACTGTGTTCAAAATGGGCCCTCTGGGAAGCAGCAGGAGGCATTGCATTACAGGCAAGACCCAAGATTCCTGTGCAAATGAACATCTTTGATTCAAAAGACAGGGGTGGCATCAGAGAGGCAGCAGCAGAACCAGGAGCCAGAGCATAGAGCAGAGCAGTGGACTTCCCAGCCCACAGAGCTAGTAAAGCTGAGTGCTTCGTTTTGGGGCAGGAGGCTGGCTCAGAGTGGGGAGCCTCTGGGCAATTTTTTGGGGAAGCTGGGTTTGCTGACCCACAGAACAAGCTGAGTGCCTTCGGACTGAGGCTTACAGCTGAATAGCATGCCCTTTGGACATTTATTGGCAGCCCTAAAAGAACTTTGTAGCATATCTTGACTGAACTACTATAACGTGAGCATATCTCTACTTGAATTGTAAACTGCTACATTCCATAATAAAACCTCATAATCATGAACAGTGTGTGAGTTCTGTGTGGCCCTTGCAATGAATTACAGAACCCAGCATTAAAGTAGAAAATGCTGCATGAGATGGTATAGGTTCTCAATGGCTCATTTTTAAGGAAGTTAGATTGCCAGGCCTTTCTGAGGCATCTCTGGGTGAACTTGAACCAATTGTTCAGTTAGCCATTGAGCGCTAAACTATTTTTACTACCCAGGGACTCCTCAGCTGAGAATAATAGTGCCAAATTCCCATGAACTTATTTATATGAACTCTCGGGCTAATAGAAAAATAGCAATTTAATAAAGCATTTTACAACTATACTGTTGACATAATATACGAATCTAAATAGCAATGCATTTAAGATTATCAATGAGAATGACACTAGGGTTTACGAATCACTACATGACCCAAGACAATTTTCTTCTGTGCTTTCATACAAAAATATCTGTAGTGAGTTAGCTACTCAAGTTTCAGACTGGCCTGCCCCCCACAAGCTGCATTTATTCAGTGGGATTTTGCAGTGAGAATTGTGGTTGGGAAGGATCTCTTATACAACAGCTGCGTTATCAAATGCCTTTATCTGAATGAATGGCACAAATGAAAGAACAGAAGTGGATGTTTGGGTACAATGACTAGAAAGGGAACGGGTTTCTACCCAGCATGTCTGTGCTGCCTTGGTGACTGGGGGAAGCTGGGCCACCACTTAGCACTCTCTGTCACTGTCCCCCCAGGCTGTGCTTGTCAAAGAGAGATTGGGTCAGGCCGGAATTGGGGGCAGGTTGGTTGTCCCTCAGTTCCCTGATGGCTCTCATTATGCATTATCTGCTAGCTCAGGTAAATGCATCTCGATGGAGTCACAGGTCTACGGGCAGTTCTTGCCGGGGGTGAGTTTGTGCAGTTCCAAGAGGGACCAATTCACGTTCTTCTCCAGGTGCAGCGTGAGTGCTCCCTTCTATTGAGCCCCACTATCCCCATCAGATGTGGTTTGTTGACATCCTGGAGGAAGATCCGGCCTCCTCGTTGGTTCTGCAGCTTCATCAGATTCTTGGTATGTTCCCTCTCCTCATGAAAGACTGGTTCAGAAAATATTTGACAAAATTCTCCCCGTGGAAGCAGTGAAACATGGAGGCGCAGAGCTCCAGGTTGGTCTGACGGTGGTGGATGGAGACCTCTGGTTCATGGATGTCGTTCAGAGCACCTGTGAGGGGGACACTGTTATCAGGGGAGTCAGTGGCAACCTTGGGCCATCCGAGGGCTCAGCTGGGAGGCAGTGATGGGGGGCTGGCGAGCACTGGGTTCCTCACAAGCCCTGTTGAACCCGGAGACTGTGGTGACTCTAAGAAGGTGGCTGTTGTTGTTTTAAGGTGCACTAGCACTTTTCAACCTTCAAAAAGCCAGTTGTTCCTTATTTGGATATTCAACCCTGTTTCATCTCCATTCTGTCAATTGGCAGACACCGATTTAAGGTCTTATTCCCACATAGAAAAATCAGTTGGCAGAGGTCGACTGTTTACCAAGAATTTATGGTGTGTTAGGACCCATATCTCCTGTTTCGTGATGAAAATGCTGAGAAGGACATGTCGCCGAGAATGCACTGCTAGTTACCCAGCTAGGTGTCAGAACCTAATTGTCCAAAGCCCTTCAATGTATTCTGAAAAAATCGAGCTTTCACTCAATTTATCAGCTGCTAAGATTTTGCCCTATTTGCATTATCTCACAGAATTTTCTTTCTGAGCCCTTTGAGACATGAGTAATAAAATTAAGTCCCTATATCATTAGCTGTTTCCCTAGCTCTTACAGAGGTGTCTCCTCAACGCAGGACTGACGTAGGTGTTGGGTTTCTGTTGAGTATTTAGAAGCCTGGGACCATCACCCACATTCTGGCTTTCTCTAATTGCTTCCTATGAACTGGATTTTTTTTTCTTTCTTGAATACTTCCTAGTTTTTGTGGTAGTGTGTCTCTATACTGCCTCACACTCAAAACCAACCTCTGCCATCAAAAGTCAACTTGATGGCGACCACACAGGACAGGGTAGAACTGCCCGTGTGTTTCCATGAGTGTAACTCTTTACAGCAATAGAAAGCCTTGGCTTTCTCCCAAGGAGTGGCTGGTGGTTTCAAACTGCTGACCTTGCAGTGAGTAACCCAATGCATAACCTCTATGCCACCAGGATGTACTTTTCTCCAAGGGGCTTTTAATGTTAGTGATGCTAAGTTAATCACTTGGTAAAGCAGGCTGGCGCATAGAGGTACCAGTAGCAAACACTGGGAGTAGCACAAACTAAGAGGTTGGTGTTACAGTAATGGAACTATGATGTTTTCTGCCTAACTGGCTTATTGATTAACTGCCAGGAATGATTAAGAAATCAAAAGGCTGCAACAGGGGAAGGAGAGTCAGCAAGAGCAGCAGGAGGAAATGGACCGTGTGCCTCTTTCACTAGGAAATCAGAACTGGATGGTGCCTGGCAACCTTTCCAGAACACTAGGATCAAATATGCCATAGAAGAGTCCTCATCCCAAAGTGGGATGGGATTGCCCTGAAAGAATCTTTTAAAACCTTACACCAAAAATATTCCCTTAGTCTTCTTCAAATCAAACCATAGCATCACTGGCGCAGTGTCTGCTCTTTGGGGCTTAGCTGGGAACCCTCGGGGTGGGGGAGTACGTGGAAGGGAATGGGTAGGGTGGCTGAGGAGCTGGGGATGGTTGCATGACTTGACGAATGTCATCCACGGCACCAAACTGTTGGCATCAGCTGGACTGGTGTTCTGCTGTGTGTGTTCTCGACAGCATGCTGTGGATTGATTTCCTTGCTACAACTAGGGTTCGTAAAATTAGTGATTTCTTAAAAAGAATAAAGCATCAGATATTTGCCACAATTAAAGTCAACTTTGACTTCTGGCAGAGACCCGTTAGGATGTGTACCACAGGACTTCGGGTCCCAATGCAGCACTAGGCTGGCCGGAAACTTCACCTCAGACACCCTGCCCTCTGACTCCTTGGTACCCTAAAACATTCTTTGGATTCATCTGATTCCCTGTTGGGGAAGCCGGGGGCTCTAACAGGCATGCCAGCCAATGGTTCTATTATTATGCTCATGCAGGAGGAGGAAGTAGAAAATGTTGAAAAGAACAGCAGGCCATGCAAGCAAGTGACCGATGGAGGAGCTGCATGTGAACAGGGTATTGCAATAACAATGACACCCAGTGTCAGCAAGGAAACACTGGGAGGGGCCAGCTGCCAAAGTTCCGCCCCTGACCCATTAGGGGAGACTCCAGCTAGGTGGGATACAGGCCCCTGTGGAAAGGCCTGTGTCCTGAAGCCTCCCAAGGGCTGCAGCTGCCCTTCCCTGGAGACTTCCACAGCTTTCCAACCCACCGACCCATAGTGGCGCAGATCTCACAGCAAAGAAAAACCATGCTGGTCGTATCTCTATCTGCAGGAGATGCCAGAGTTCTGCACACATTGCAGGGTCTGCTCACTTCTTCAGGCCCTGAAGCAACGCTGCTGGCTCCAGGGAGCCCTCCATTCACCAGGGGAAACCCCACAGTGCTTCCTCCCTCCTCCTCCCCATCCACATTCCTGCCTTTCAGTTTGGTCACAAGAGTCTGGACATCCCCAGAAAGGGGTCTACTCTTGATTGCCTCCAAGGAAATGACCAGAATTAAAGGATGGTAAGGTGTAAGAAATTATATAAAGCCATTTTCAAATTTTGGGTCACCTCTATGACCCTTCTGCCACCTGAGTCAAATGACTGCGGGCGCTTGACCACTGCCTTTCAATGGAATGTCTTGGTCTCAGTCTCTGTTGGTCAGATTAACTCATAGCTCATAGAAAGGTTCAGGTAGAAATTCTAGTTCAGCCTCCAGTGGGCCAGGAGAGTTGATTGTTGGGAGATGCAATCTACATCAGCGGAGTGTGCTAGATGGAAGGCCCTGCCCCTTCTGGCCCTCGGCCATTTCTCAGGGCTGTATTTTCAACAATCAACCTTGAGAGCTAAGAGTAGGCTTGTTACCAAACCCAAGCTCTGCATTCCACCCCTTATAGTGCAGGCACTCATGAGGGGAACTTTCTGAGGCATGAGGAATTGGCCAAAGCCAACAGGAGGCTATACCAGCTTTTGCCACGAGTGATCAAGCTTTGTCTTGATGCATACAAGGAGGCTTCAACAGGTTCAGATAATGGAATCTTCCCGTGTACTTTTTGAAGCTTCCCTGCACACCCACGTCTCATCCCCCAAACACCTCATTGGTCACCCTCTAGAGCGGTAGTTCTCAACCTCCCTAATGCTGCGACCCTTTAATACAGTTCCTCATGTTGTGGTGACCCCCCAATCATACAATTTTCGTTGCTACTTCATAACTATAATTTTGCTACTGTTAGGAATTGGGTGACTCCTGTGAAAGGGTCATTTGACCCCCAAAGGGGTTGCGAACCACAGGTTGAGGACCGCTGCTCTAGAGGTTGCTAGGGAAACAGTAAAAACTAACCATTTAACCTAAAAGTTACCAAATAAGGAACATTTTCTAAGCATCTGAACTAAAACAAATGAAGACATGGCTATATATTACCATGTCAAAATCCTAATGACAGGGTCATCAGTAGTCTCTAAGACCACACAGATAGGAACATGCTAATGGAGGCACAGGGCACCAGCTAGGTAGAAATTTGGCCCTCCAAACTGTTGGGAGATACCACGGGGACATGACCAGCAAAATCCATACTCTGGGTGGGGTGTTGGCAACAAATGACTTGGGAGTCTTAAATGGCTAACAACAACAAAAAACCAGGAGGGGGCTACAGGTTCTTGAGACGAGAGACCATCTGAATACAAATGTCCAGCTGTGAAATTACACAAGCCAGATGGAAATGCAACACTCGGGCAATTAATTGGGGGAACTGTGAACACTGGTGTTTAATGAGACTAAAAAGTACTGCGAACTTTTTGGGTGTGATATGGTACTGTTTATTATTTTTCAAAATGAGCTTTAAAAGAAAGTTCTTACCTTTTAAAGATACATATGGACATATCTGTAGGTGAAAGAATACATTTGGTATTTCAAAACATTACTAACACAAATGTAGCTGTTAAGTTGGTGATTGACACATGAGGCCATTGTGCTATTTTCTCAACTGCTATATACAATCAAGTTTCCATAATAAAAAATGAAAAATATGTTCTTATAGAAAAATAGGCAGCAAAGAGGCTCATACTACGATGGCTGATGGTTCATACACTTTGCAAAATAATGTATGTTGCCATGATAGAATCCAGGAAAAAAATACCAACTGGGTGAATACTAAATAGTTCCTCACACACACCATTAACAAAGAAACATTTTAAACTCAAAGCCTTAGAGACACACATACATTTCCTGAGGGATTACCTGGAAAGTTAAGATCTACCGTAATTTCCAGTAAAACCAGCCTTTTAAGTTTTCTGTACTCTCAGAACTCATTCATAAAGCCTCCACTAATTCTTTGAACCAGCACCTTCCCCAGATACCTTTCTTTGAGGTCACTATTTATTCATTGAGCAAATACTGAACACTGAGAAGTGCCAGGCCCAGTGGAATACAATGATAAAGATGACAACACACCTGGGAGCTGCAGACATGCACACAGGTCATCACAACAAAATGTGCAAAGATTTTAAGCTTTATTTATGAAAAAAATGCTAAGAGTTGGGACCACTGGGAGACAGCAGATCACATCCTAAATTGGGCCAGTCTATGGTACGGACCAGTTCCCCAAAGACCTTCCTACCAATACCTCCCTAGGTTCATTCTACAGTCATTTTTAAAATGATAATGTTTTTGTTGCTATTTACATCAGGATAATAGTAACAGGTCTAAACAGTTCTTGTTCTATCATATAAAACCAATGAAAGAAGTAGACAAGACAGCACAGTATTTGATGCATGAAGGCAAATGTATTCAAGGTCCTTTCTGTGCTGAATGTAAGGACAAGATGTCTATGTGCTATTTCTTTTCCAAATCAACAATTTGGGGTGATATTTTAGGACCTAATCATCCTTCTGGGTAGGCCAGCTTGCAGCTTATGATGGGGAGAGACACATTCTTGCTGACCTACAGACTAGCCATGTAGGGAGAGTGCTGGGAGGACAAGCTAATGTCTGTTGTCTCTTCCATCATCAGCAAGTTCAAGTCAGGTCAGTACTAAGTTATCTTGTACCAATAGAGAGCTATTCTGATCTGCCAGTGCAGGAGGAAGGCACAGGAGGAGAGGAAGATGGAGGGAGACTCAATGTCCTATGATGGAGTGTAGAGGCTTCTGGTTGGAAAAATGCAACTGACATATTCTGATGAAATAATGGGGGGAAAAAGAACACAGGTGTCCATCTTAGGATGCCATGCCCAGCAGAAAGCCTCCAAGAAATCCCCCCGTCACAAGGACATTCTTCTTCACAAATGATACCACCTGCAAAGACAAGACAGCATCCAAATATTAGGAACCGCCTACACTCAGAATGGACTATTTCAAGTCTTTCACCTGGAGGTTTTTTCAAGTAATTTGCATATCAACCAAAGGGACTTGGTGAAAACATGGGGGACAAGGGAGGGAGAGGTCAAGGGGTAATGCCTATGATTCTGCCTTTACCCATGCTGTTTCGTGAGCAAAGGTCTGCCCAGGATTTAATCCAGTCACCTGGTACTTCAAACACCTCCTCCTCACCATCATTTAAACTCAAGTCTCCCATTAGAAAGAAGCAAACAGCTCATTCACCTCTCCCTCTCCCTTCCCCATACACCCTGCCCTTCAAGCTACTTTCTTCTCTTCCTCTTTTCCCACAAAAACTTTCTTATCTGCTATTATTCAGTGGCTTGACTTTCTTTCTTCATACTCATTTCTCAAATTGGCTTGTTTGGCTACTCCACTCACCCCATCCATCCCTAATAAAACCGCTTTCATCAAAGTCACCAAAGATTTCCTGGCTGCCAGATACCTAACTTACCGCTTTCTTCCACTATCCTGTCCTAACTTGTTTCTCTTCTTCAGACAACATGCACTTAATCATGGCGTCATTCTCCCAGCTACCAAAACCAGAAACCTAGGTATCATCCTTGCCAGCTCGCCACCCCTTTACCCCTCTTTATCTGCCCTCAATGTTTACAGACTCTCTGCCACCTCCTTCCTCACTGTAGTCTCACAAATTATCTTTCTTCAGGCTGGGCTAGGGTCCCTCCAAGGTAGGTTAATAATGTTTCCCACTACCTTTATACAACCAGACTGTGAGTGCCTTGAACTCTGGAGATTAAGCAAGTGTGGCAAAATCTTAAAGGTTTGTGGCATTTTTCAACCTGAAATGTTTGCCTGACAGCCCCATTTGTCTACATTCGTGAAATAAACAGGCCTCACCGCTTCTGCTTTGCTCTTGACTTCGCTAGAGATTTGGTTGCTCTTATCAATTTTCAGCTGCTCCTTGGCTTTCTTCATATCTTTCTCTACTCGTTTCCAGTCAACCTTGATGTAACCAGTATGGTTTGCAATCTAGTTTCAAAATAAAATAATGAGAAACAAGAAACACAGACTCGCTATTTCTTTTTTTCAGGATAAATCACTGAAACCAACTGTCAAAATGCTTCTCAATTTCCAATTTTAGAAGCATCTGCCATCAAGTTGTGTGTGGAAAATCTGCCTTCATTGACTTCCGGCAATTGTTTTGTTTATTTGACTCTGTGTAACCCCAAACACCCCAACAGAGTTTTAGGTTAGTGTAAAAAATACAATATGAAGTGAAAATCAGAAGAGGTCAGGATTTAAGATCTCAGAGCCAACACAGGATTGCTTCTGAGGGCACAGCACGAAAACAAGGCAGACTGCTGTGTGTATCATACCACACCAGTACTCATCAAAGTGAACTTCTTCTAGAGACCAAGAAGAAAGCCCACTGGGAAAAAAATGACCAAAGATCACTTGCTACAGAAGAAAAAGTTCAAACTACACAAGTGATCAAAGAAAAAGGAGATAGAATAATGATAAAGTCTAAGTTATCTTATCAGACAGGGGAAAACGAAAAGATCTTTTAGAAAGGATGTGGACAAAGACACCTTATATGCTCTTATACTACTTGGAACAGCCATTTCTTCTAAAAATTTTTTGTTATGTTGAAAATATGCACAGCCAAGCAGACACTAATCCATTACAGTCTGCAGATGTGTCATTTAGGGAGAGTGATGACATTCACCCAGTGTGTCACCATCTCACCCTCCTTCTCCGAGTTATCTCCCCCACATCCCCCCACACCACACACAAACTCTCTGCCCCCTAAGCTCCCTGTGGAATCCTAGGAGTTGCTGTTGTCTGTTTGATCACAGATCGATCTTGAAAGATCACAACGCTCAAGGCAGACATGGTCTACTAGGTATCGTAAAGTATTGTTTGGCTTGAAGGAGACTTCAGGGGATATTTCTCAGGGAACTTGAACTTGCCTCTTCAAGTATGGAACCCAAACCCCCATTGCCATCCAGTTGATTCTGAATGTTAGTGACCCTATAGGACAGAGTAGAATTGCCCCTGTAGGTTTGCGAGCCTTTGAGTTTTGCCACATCTTCCTCCCATGAAAAGGCTGGTGGGCTTGAACTGCAAACCTTTGGGTGCTTAACCACTGCCCCACCAGGGTTCCGCCAAATACCAAGGCTTATTATGAACCTATCGGCAGAAAAATGAAAGGTTGACGAGTGGAACAGAATAGTGAAAGAGCGAGATCCATCCAGGCAGGGACTCAAATGTGAAACTAGTCAATCTATATGCTACTGGGAAAACTATGACCCTAATGGCCCAGCACTGTGCCTGCCCGGTCTTCATGCCTCTGATGATAGGTAATGTGAATTACTCATCTGCAGATCACAGATTGCTCAGGTCCCACCTTGCCAGCAATATTAGAAGGCTTCAAAAAATTGCTGGAAAAATCCTATTCCCTTTTCCACAAACATTTGGAAGCCCCCCTTGCCTATGCACCATGGACTACCAAAATCCCACCCTGACGGCCTTTCCTGTCTGCCAGGGGCCTGAAAGGGAACACCCAGCACTCCCTGGGAGCCTGAGCCAGAAGCACCCACCTACCTCTCCCACATTTCTGGTTCTGGAAAGCCATGAGAGGTCATCAAAATACCTGGTATTTAAGTCAGTCAAGTTTGAGAGAAGGAGCCATGGTGGGTGGTTTTTCAAGATCTCCAAGGCCCATCTGTGCTACTCAGGGACAGCTGAGCCAGCAATGCTGTTCCTTCATCATCTTGTCTGACCTATTTGATCCCAGCCCACTTCCCTGAAGGTCAGCCAGCTCCAGGACAAAGAACTTTAGGACAGCGCATCACAGAGTATTGTTAGCCTGCACCTCTGATGGACACTTTGGGGATCAAGGTGCCCCAGGAGTGAAAATGACTATTTCCGCCTCTGAGAACAGATCTCACACAGCACTTTCATGCCACCACTTTTTAGTTTGGCTTAAGATTTCGATGGGTCTCAACTCTGTGTAAGGAAGCTATGGACAGGAACGTGTCTGTCTTTCTCCATTTACACGCTGACTAGTAAGTGATGCAGCTTAACCACACAGCCAGCAGCTTTCTGAGAAACAGATGCAAAGGCTGGCACACTCGGAGTCAACTCCCAATGCCACATTCCTAACGGGCAAGTGGAATCTCTAAACATGTCACATACAGACCTGAAGGAGGAAAAATCCACCACCCACAGCTGTTGCCGCCAACTTTCCAACCTTCTGGAATATGAAACCCGTGCACCTAAAAAAAATCAAACCAACATCAGACAAGCTGACAGGTTGCCAGATCCACAGACATATGCATTTTTGACAGTGTTCAAATCCTAATTACCTCGGGCTGAACCATCTCCTCCATGCAGCCAGGTCCCATGAGGAGGTTTTGGACAAAAGTAACCCAAGAGAGGGCAGAAACACTGAGTCAACTGATTTTCAACAGAGACTCCGAAGTGACTCAGTGGAGAGAGGATCAGGCTTTCAACACACCTGGATGGCACAACTGGACACCTATATGCAAAATAATGAACTTGGGAGTCTTACTTTGAACCATATACAAAGGGTATCTCAAGATGGATCATGGTTAAGTTCAGTTTATCTGATTTTTAAAAAATAGTTTAATAGTTGAAGCTTTTGCTGTCTTAAGAATCCCCAAGGTTTTCTCTGAAATCTTACATAAACATTTCTTAGAACACTAAAAGCTTCAACTATCAAAAAAAAAGGGTTGATAAACTGCACTTCAAAACCAGTATCTTTTGCTCTTCAAAGACAATGAAAAGATAATGAAAAGCTACAGGGTATAGTAATGTATGAAAAGGGTTTGAAAAAGTACATAGAAAACTCCATTATCTTTTCCTTCCATTTTCCCATGACCTTTTTGAAATTCCTTCAGTATTTACAAATCACACATCTGATACAGGACTTGTAACCAGAATTCATAAAGAACACTCACAACTTAATAATGAGAAAACAAATAGCTCAATAAAAATAAGGGGCACCGCTTGGAATAGATACATCGCAAAAACTCCAACCAAACTCCCTGCCCTCAAGTCCATTCTGACTCACAGCGTCCCTAGTGGGCTTTGCCCCATAGTTTGTATTGAGCTACCTTAGTCTCATTACCAAACTTGCTGCCATTCACTCTCCTCTTATCAGTCTTTAGGGAAATCAAAATAAAATATCAGTGAGATGCCATTTCCTGTCCGGGTGGTTACAATAAAAGAAAGTGTCAGTGAGACTGTGGAGATAACTCAGTCACATTAGAAGACAGTTTAGTGGGTTTGAACTATTGACCTTGCTGTTAGCCGCCAGTGCCTCAGTGCTCCTTCTTGCAAGAGTGGCGAGTGTCCAGTCTACGGGCTGTGTAAAACCTGAGAAATTATCAATACCAGCTAGCATCACACACCTCACCAATTATAAGCCATTTCAGCCATCACATTAGGGGTGAGTTCATGAAGTATTTGACCATTATGGCCCTCAAATGATGTTATAAATGTCCACATAGCCTTTGGAAAAATGACAGCCCCCCCCTCCTTTTGCAGTAAAGTGAAAATAAGAACTGTATGCACCTGTTGTGACTTAACAACAATCTCAAAGACACACTTAGGAGTGGAGCTTGTCTATAAGCAAGGGACTGCTTGTACTCAGTTATGTAACCACTAAGTAAGTAGCACGTCAGTACACTGAATTTAGACATGTGAATGTGACACAATAAGTTACCAACTGTACAAAAGTCAAGGAATCTTCATTTATTAAGGAGATGTCTCCTACAACAACAGAAACCGACATGTCTCATCACCTACCATCCGGTGACGCCTCCTATGAGCAGCTGGGTGGTCACACTGTACTTTTCGGCAGAGGGCCCAGATTCTTGGCCGAACAGCTTGCGCCACCATGGTTGCTTTTTAGTAAATTCTGCAAGGTCCAGAGGCTCGAAATTTCCATCAAATTTTCCTACAAGCATTTAGACACTAAATAAGCATAGACTTAATTTGATGATCATTCCTTATGTCGATTAAAAGACCTTTAAAGAAACAAGGATTCTTTTAAAATAATAAGTGAATTTTAAACTTCCAACTAGCAATTGTGGAAAATCAGACTAAAATTAACAAATACTAATACCTGCATTAGAGGAAAAAATAAGTCTTAAAATTTTAGTTCTCTGCTTTCTTTAGAAACCCCTCTGAGGCAGCTCTACCCTGGTACGTGGATTGCTATGAATTGAAAATCAAGTCAGTGGAGCTCCATGTACAAACACTGTGTCGTTATAGACCGCCCAGTGAAGGGCAGGTATTTCTATGGGAAGCAGCACAGAAATCCAAGCGGGGGGCCACGATCTTGATTTCTAGCTGTCTAATACTAAACCCAGGTTTCTTCGAATAAAGTGGCAATTATAATAGCTACCTCATGAAGTTGTGAGGAATGAAATTGGGCATGAAAAGCAAAGTGTTTGCACAGTACTTGTACTCCATCAATGTTCATTTTTATTAGTGCAAGTATGTGTAAAACTTAGCAGCAGGTCTAAAACCCCCGAGCTGAGAGTGTGGTCTGTGGGTTCTGCATGGCCACTTGCCTCACGAGTGGGAGGGGTGGCTGGTGGTACGAGTGCTCAAGTGGTTGGAAGGTGGCAGCATGTCTCAGCGCAGCCTCAGAGGAAACCAGCCTTGGACTGGTGGTGACGGGGGTTGTGCCCCTCTCTCTACTGATGTTGGAAGAGGTCATCTCCACCCCCCCCCATTTTGACACCACCTTAATGGCCCGGTAAGTCACAGATCACAGTATTACATGGTTATCACTATGATACTGAAATTAGAGATGCTACAACGATGGGATCAACCTATACATTTTAAGTGAATGTGGGCAGGAAAATGACTTTGCCTAAATTTCATAGTAGGCTGCTATCAACCAGTTTGGAGGGGGTGGGGGGGATGCGATTTGTAGTGTATGCCACTCCACCCAACCCGAGGGACATCACTGGATCGGGGCCTCATTGAACACCATACAGTCGTATTGCCCTGTACAAATAAAACAGATGTAACTACCTGTAATAGCAAAACCTAAAGGGCAGAAATAAAATTAAAACATGGCAAACTATTAGGAAGATGCGTTTTCGCAGGCTCACTGCCCTGGTTTTGAATTCAACCTACTTCGTCTTCAAGGGTCCCTTTTGGCCGGGGATGTGTGTGCTGACCTTGTGAAGTCGGGTGGCAGCGTACTTTACTGGATGCATGCAGCTGGACAAGCGGCCCACCCGCCCCCGCCCGCCGGAGAAGCACGCCTGCCGGGCTTGGGGAGGAAAGCACACGCAAACACTGATGCCGCCACAGTCTCATGGCACGCGCACTTGAGCAGGCACAGAGGTCCCCGAGCTGCTGGCCAGAAAGCCAGACCAGAGGCAACATCCAAGGGTGGTTCGGCCCCGCCTGGGCGTGACCTTGACTGGACCATGGGAGGCGGTTGGGCCGAGGCGAAGCCAGGGAACGGGCCACCTTCCCCGCCCCGCGCCACTCGGGCTCCCAGGGGAGAGCCCAGCCGGACTGGCAGACACCGAGTTCGTCCCCTTCCGGGCCCAGGAAGGCGCCTCCCCACGGCACACACCCTGGGCGCCCGCTCTTACCTTGCCTGAAAGCAGCCATTTCGGCGAGCTGGTTTGGCGAGGTCACCCGCAGAGTCTCGGTGTGGTGAAACGCCGCCGGTAAGCCAGTTGTTGTCGCCACCCGCTGGCTTCCGGCACGTGGGGCAGATGTTTCCATCCCCTCAGCCTCCGTGAAAGAGGGCGGGACTGCGCTCAGCCGCCCCGCCTCGGCCCGCGCGGCCAGCTGCGTCACAAAAGCGTCACAAAGCCGCCCCGCCCAGTCAGAGTCTCCTTGGCCAAGCGTTGGCCAGTGGCGTCAACGGTTTTGCCTGCGCCTGCGCCTCAAGCCCCGCCCAGCTGGCAGCACCAACGCGCATGCGCAGAAAGCTTTGGGGCGGGAGCCGCGCTTGCGTAGAAAGCTTTCAGGCGGAGACATCCCGCCAGTTGCCCAGGCTGCTACGCAGTTCGTCATGCTTCCCAGTTTACGTGGCGACCATTTTCACATAGTGGCTGCGGTCCCTTGCAGGTGGCTATTGGACCCACAACTTTGCTGGAAATAAAGTAGTATTGTCGTGCTTGTTCAGGTAACCATGACACAATATTTATTAGCGTCTGCGAGTGCCCAACGCTGTTGTAGTGGAGGAAAACAGCCCTTTACAAAGCATCAGAACCACAGGAAGAAATCCGCTCTGAAAGCAGGGACGTGGTCTTTTAGTGCTTACGGAGGAGATCCCTCCTTAACTCAGTTAAAGGCACCTGACTTAGAACAAAACCCGCAACTCAAACTGCCCAGATCCAAATTATCAGACACCCCCATAAGCGCTGCCTTCAGTGAGCCAGCACACTCATAACTCTCTCGCCCCAAAGCCATAGTCCATTTTTTTTGTTTTAAATCTCTCTCACTTAACAAGTCACCCTGATCCTACCCCTGACCCCCTAGGCGCTTGCTCCTCCCTACCACTACCACCATCACCATGCATCTAAAAGGTGCTACGGGTCCCCTCCTGTACTCCGAAGCCTGCCATGGCTCTCCACTGCCCTCCGTGTATAAACCAACAGCCCTTTGTTCAAATGTAGTTTTCTCAGTGAGACCTTCTATGACCATCCCGTTAAAATTGCACCTGTTACATCCCAACTCCTCCTTAGCCTGCGTATTTCCTAGTTTGCACCCAGCGCTGACAACAATGTCTGTATAGGACAAATGGGGAGTTGGCTGACCTTGGGGGGGGGCGTGCCTTTTGCTTCTTTTGTGTCTACTTTGCAGTGTTGTTGTGACAGCTTTATGCTTCCACCCCCCACCCCCACCCCTGACCTGTGACTCCAAAGGACAGGATCTAGGTTTATTCATCTGATGAATTGGGGATATGACTTCTGGAGCTATATTGCAGGGCTTTGAATGCTACCAAAAACTACCTGTGTGACCAGGGCAAGGTGCTTACTTTTCTGAATATTTTCGTTTCAAACGCATTCATATTTGGTGCAGTCGTAATAAAATTCCCTGGACTTTCAATGATGATATTTGTTATAGCAGCCTGAACTAAGTTTTCTATTAGCTCCTATACATTCGCGCCCTGGAGAAGTCTGAGTGTACTATACATTAACCTGAATAACTCACTGCCATCAAGTCAATTCCAACCCGCAGTGACCCTATAGGACAGAATAGAAGTGCTCCTGTGCACTTCCTTTTGGACTCCTGCAGAGTGGCTGGTGATTGCCAACTGCTGACTTTGTTGTTAGCAGCTCAACTCGTAATCCATCACACCACCAGGACTCTTAATAATTTGAATACATTTGCTGATTGCTTAAGGTCTCTGCTTAGCATGAGATTAGCATGGCTGCATCTTGCTGTAAAGCAATAAACCCTAAATGTGGGCCAAACTTAAACGACCTCAAAAAAGGACCAGATAGCTAGAAGCCAAAATTAACAGGCAACTCAATGCCAAGTGCCAAGTGACTATGAGTGCTATGGGAAAACCTAAAGCAGAGAGAGGCTGTCAGTAGTGGCGACAGAAGTTAAATATTAAATATGGGAATATGGTGCTCCATAGTTGAACTGATTTTTAAGGCAAGATTTGGAAAAAAAGATTTCATGGGGCTTTTATTTCCCTAATGAATTACCATCTCAGAAACACACAGGCGCAATTCTACCCTGTCTTGTAGGGTCACTCTGCGGCAGGATGGACTTGATGACAGTGAGTTTGGCAGTGAGTAAAGTTGAAAGGTGTGGAGATCTGGGGGAATGTGGTTCTGCGAGAGGAAATAGAAAGTGCTAAGGAATAGAGGTTGGTCTCTCCTGCCAACCTGTCTAAACTACACGAGATGAGGTACCTTGCCTCTAAGGAACATTCTAGCTGCACTTCTTCCAAGAGAGATTTGTTCATCCCTGGAGAAGGGCATCATGCTTGGCAAAGTGGAAGGGCAGTGACAAACAGGAAGGCCCTCCACAAGCTGGATGGACACCACGGCTGCAACAATGAGCTCAGACATGAGAACTGTAGTATTAAATTAAAAAATAATGACGCAGAGGGAGGGTGAGGAGCCAGCCCCCACCCGCTGCTACTCCTACGAGTTCAGTAATACTACTTCTGGGTTCAGTAATGCACAATTGTACGGTTGAGATATATAAGCATTATATTAAAGTCACCGAGAGCATGAGAGATAATACAATAATACAGTCAGGCATGTTACATAGTACCATTGCTCACCTCAGCCCAGCTTGGTGGTCCACGTGGAGAGAGGGAGAAGGGAAGGAGGGAAAGGGAACAAGGGAGAGGGGGAAGAGTCAGAGAGGTCAGAGTCCGAGAGGGAAGTCCGAGCCTATATTGCTGACCCATGCCTATATACCTTTTGGGGGCAAGCCAGCCCACTAATTACAGGTAGAGACATACGTCACAGGGAGGGGCTGCACTATAGGCTACACAGCAATGAGAGGGTGGTCTAGGGGGTGGTCTCTGGGTCTCCATAGGAACATTATCAGTAGAGTGCAAACCCCTCCTACAGGAACCAAGCTAATGGCCTTAGGCTCCAGAGAGAGGTAGTCTATTGTCTCCAGCAGCAGGGAGCAGGCCCAGCCCTGCTGTGGGATGAGACAGCAGTCTGGCAGCAAGTATCTGACTCCCCCCCACAGAGAACCATTGTGAGGATGGCACAGGACTGGCCTGCACTTCGCTCTGTTGTGCCTAGGGTCACTGACAGAACCAACTTGAAGGCACCAAACAATAACCAGGGCTATAGAAAGAGCTCTGGCACAGTATTGGGCTATGCAATAGGCTGCTGGCTGCTGTGTCCGAAGTTCAAACCTACCAGTCACTTCAAAGATAGGGCTCTCTGCTCCTGGAAAGAGTTACAGCCTTAGAAGCTCACAGGGACCATTCTACTCTGTCCTATGAGCTCACTATCATTTGGCATTGACTCAGTGGCAGTGAGTTATGAGAATGGCCAGGGACACAACTCTCCTTGGTATTTAACAGAATGCCAGAGGAAGCCTGATGGCACGGTGGGTTAAGCATTGGGCTGCTAACCCCAAGGTCAGTGGTTCAAACTCAGCAGCCACTCTGTGGCCATTTGCTCCTGTAAAGATTTACAGCCTTGGGTTAGTTCTTTTTTTTTTCTCTCTCTTTTTAAAAATCATTTTCTTGGGGGCTCATACAACTCTTATCACAATCCATACATATATCAAGTGTGTAAAGCACATTTGAACATTTGTTGCCCTCATCATTCTCAAAACGTTTGCTCTCCGCTTAAGCCCCTAGCATTAGCTCCTCGGGTTAGTTCTATTTTCTATAGGGTCACTTTGAGTTGCACTTGACTGACAGTGGGGTTTTAGGAGGTCAGGATGACCCAAATAGAGTAAATGAGGTAAAAAGCTATTAGAAGATGTTTGAGTTTTATAGTTTTACAAAAGGACTCTGTGGCAGCTCTGGGAGGGGTAGGAATAGAAGCAGGGTGTTTGTGACACCTGCTTGTGCAAATGGATTCCAGAATATTCAGCATCCTGGATTTCTCGTCTTACTGCTACCAAGGAAGAGGATTTGAGTAGGGGAGGGGATACCAATTGAGCTCCTATTGACCTTAACCTCTCTCCCTCTCTTTCCTTCAAAGCTCGTATTACAGCTGGCTTCTTAGGCCCACTGATCTCAGAGGTGAACGAGTTAAGCTTTGGCTGGCTTAGCCGCGATTGTCCTGCTTCCGTTCTTCCAGCCAAAAAGGAAGCAATCCTATCAGCGACTGCCTTCATGCTGATGCTGCCGCCCCAGGCAAAATTTCCTACCATTCTTGGGAACTTTTCACGGAATTGCAGATAGTTCCCCTTTTGTTTTGCATCTCCTCCCGAGAGCCGAAGCTATTTCAGAGAAGAATCCACCTCATGTTTCTCCGTTTGAAACTTTTCTAGCAGCAAGAGCCATGCAAATAGAGCTCTCTCTCAGCTTTCTCCTTTGCCTCCTACCATTCAGCTGGAGTGCCACCAGAAAATACTACCTGGGCGCCCTGGAACTGTCCTGGGACTACATGACAAGTGACCTGCTCCATCAGCTGCATGCAAACCCAAGGTAAAGGCCGGCCTGACCAGGGGCCAGCAGTGTGGGAATGTGACTGGCTGGAGCATCTTTTCAGATGTAGGTTGGTTAATGGGTTTGTTGATGTATTTTGCCGATTGAGTGATTCATATGCTGTGCCCTTTTTTCTTTGACCTGTTAGATTTTTTATAATGATGAGAATCCTTTTACTATTACAGATATTAATTAACCCTTTGTCATCTGTATATCAATGTCCCACAGTTCTATTGTTTGTTTTTTGACTTTGTTTATAAATTTTATCAAAAGAGTTTTTCAGTTTTATAAAGTCAAACTGATCTCTGTTCTTTCGTATCTTCAGCCTTGCTAGCATTGGTTAAAAATGTTTCCCTCATAGGAAGAGAAATCAAAGAAGGGGCAGTAGGGTAACCGATTGGGAGCTTGATAAATAGTTGACCACAACATCCATGGTCTGAAATAGAACAGCCCCACCTGGTTTGCGTGTTACATTTACATCTTTCATCCGACCATTATTTGGTGTCTATGAGCTGGAGGTCAGTGGCCGCTATGGCTGCACACTGGGCTAGATGCTGGGCTGCTAACTGTAAGGGCAGAGACTCGCCCACCAGCTGCTCCAAGGAAGAGAGAGAAGGTTGTCAATTCCCAGTAAGATGATCAGTCTCAGAAACTTTGCATAGGGTTTGATTAGACCACTAGCGAGTGGTGATGGCACAGATTCATTGCATATGAGTTATTATGCAGCTTTTCTCTTGCTATGTCAATATCATTGATTTGATTCGAGTAGCTGTACAATATCTTGTGAGATCAGAGAAGGGTAATTATTCTTTGTCCTTATTTTTATATCTGTCTTAGCTATTCTTAAGGAGCCCTGATGGTGCTGTTGGGTAAACATTGGACTACTAACCACAAAGTCAGTGGTCAAACCCACCAGCTGCTCCAGAGGAGAAAAATAAGGCTGTTCCCCTAAAGATTTATAGCCTCAAATGCTATCTGAGTCAGAATCCAGTTGATGATAGTAGATTTTGAGGTAGCTGTTCTCAGGCATTTTATTCTTTCATGTAAAAATGTTAAGATGTGTTTTTCAACAAAAAAGGCAAGCTTTCTTGTGATTCTAATGGAAATTTCAATGAATTTATACATTCTATTAATAGAACAAATTTACGCAATTTCAGTATTACATTTATTCCTAAGCATTTGTATATGTGCATTACTACTATAAATAAAATTGCTTTTCTCCCATTGTCATTTCTAAGAGAAAAGCTATTCATATTCATTTGTGTATATTCATCTCGAATCCAGCTACCTTTCTGAATTCTTTTGTTAATCCTAATCATTTTACACACATCTCTAAGTATTGAACAATATTATCCACAAAAGGAGAGACATCTTAACATTTTTCAATATTTGTAACTAGTCAGTTCATTTTCTTATTAAATTTATTTGAGAACACAAGAAAATACTAATGGTGAAAGTGAGAATCTCTGCCCATTCCATCAGTTCCTGAAATAGTTTTAGTCTTTTGTCATTTAGAGTAATGTTAGTCTGCCCCCAAGACCCCCCACAAGCCAGAGGATACCCGCCGCCCCGCCCCCCACCGCCGCCGCCGCATGGCAATAAAGATGGTGTGCTGCTCAAAAAACAAACAAAAAGAATGCTGTTAGTGCTTGTTTTGATTACCGTATATGGTCTTTGTAACCTCTATTCCTGTGGGTCGCAACCCCTGGTCGCCCAATTCATAACAGTAGCACAGTGACAGTGATGAAGTAGCAAGGAAAATAATGTTATGGTTGGGGGTCACCACAACATGAGGAGCTGTATTAAAGGGTCCTGGTATTAGGAAGGTTGAGAACCACAGCTCTATTTCTTTCCTTTTATTTTTAAGTCATTTGATTGGGGGCTCATACAACTCTTATCACAGTCCATACATCCATCCATTGTGTCAAGCACATTTGTACATTTGTTGCCATTACCACTCTCAAAACACTTGCTTTCTACTTGAGCCCTTGGTATCAGCTCCTCATTTCCCCCCCTCCCTCCCCGCCCTCCTTCCCTCGTGAACTGTAACCTCTATTCCTATTTGTCACAGGATTTTATTGGTAATGACATTTTAGCACCTAGCATCATCTGAATTTTCCTCCTTAGTGTTTTGATAGACAGATACAAGTCCCATGGCATGAATTCTGACTCACAGTGACCCTTAGGACAGAGTAGAACTGTCTTTGTGGGTTTCCAAGACAAGCACTCTTTACTAGAGTAGAAAGTCACATCTTTTGCCCATGGAGCAACTGGTGGTTTTGAACTGCTGACTGGTTGTTAGCAGCCCACTTTGTCACCCACCAGGGCTGCTTGAGAGACAAATAGATTTTGTTCATAGATTTCCTGACATTGAGTAGTCTTCAATTTTTTTGGAGTACAATCTACTGTTCATGTAATTTGCATATTTCTAGGATTTCTGTGCAAATATTTCTTTAGAAACTGTGAGCCTTTACTATCTGGATGTTGTAGATGAAACTGGATCCTCCCCCCAATATATGTTGCAAATCCTGGCCCCTATGATTATAATCCTATTTGTGAATAGGGTTTCTTTGTTATGTTAATGAGACATCTTAAGCAATTGAATTGAGAGGCCGAATTGAGTGATGCCAGGTGCCACACACCTTATAAAGATCACCAAGAAGCCCAGGAAGGAAGCCCTTCCCCTAGAGTGTCAAGAGAGAAGAAAACCTTCCCGTAGAGCCAGAACTCGGTAGCGTAGAGGGTCAGAGAAGAGGAAGGCGCTGAAAGAGATGGATTGATGAGGTGGCTGCACCCATGATCTCAGATCTAGCAATGAGCGTGTGGCTGGAGCAGTGTTTTGTTCTGTGAGCAAGACCTGACTGACAGCACCTAACACCAGCAAGAGTAGGTGTCCTGAATTTGGTCTTCTGGCCACTTAAACTGCAAGGAAAGCAATATACTTGTTAATGTCACCTACTTCTGATATTTCTAGTATAGCACCACTAGTTAATTAAGGCAATGGGATTTTAATGTTTTTACTATTACTGTTAACTAGTAGTACAGTTTTGTAGGCTTTATAATATGAATTCGTGAGCTTTTAAATTATTTTGAATATGCTAAATAACATTAGGATAATCCATTTTTACAAGTTACAAAACTTCACTTATTAATCTACTTGGTAACTTTTGCAATATCTTACATAAGCATTCCAAGCTCTTTTATGGTCAATTCAAGTTTGCACTCTCCCGTGGGGTCAGTTTGAATCATTGAGCTCATTTCCTTTAGCTTGTCTATTTTATTGCCTCAGTATCACATATAGCTTCATGTTCCCTCTTTTCATTCTGAAGCTCCTCTCTTTGCTGTTTATTTGTATGCATTTTCTATAAACAAGATTGCTAGTGACTTGTCTGACTTTTTGTTGGTGCTGTTCTTTCCAAAGAACAGTTTGGGTGTTTGTTCTTCCTAGTTATTTAAAATAATAATAATAATAATATATATATATATATTGACATTTTATCAGTATCACTTATCTTCCCCTAGTTTATTTTGGTTTATCATACAATATTTTCCTAATTCTGAGGGACGGTAATGTGCTACTCCCCCCTTCATTATTAAAATGAAGGCATTCACTGCTATATAGTCTCCTCTTAGGATACCTTTTCCACTCTCTGTAGGTTTTGGTGTAAAGGGTTTTCTAGTCCTTATTTTCAGGAGACTTTATACTACCTTCTTTGATTTAATCTTGGATGCAGTTTTTATTTTTTCAACATGTTTTTAAAAAATATTTGAGTAAAATGTACAGTGCTGTGTTCATTTTTATTGTGGCCATAGCAAATTGCCAACAATTTCACAGCTTGAGAACTCCACTTTTTTTTTTAATATATGTATCTTACCATCCCATAGTTCAATCACATCCAGCAGAATTGTCCCATTGCTGCCACAATCAGTGTCCAAACATTCTTTCTCTACATGGACTCCTTGATATGGTCTCCTTTTTACCCTTTCCCCGCCCACCACCACTGTACCCCCTCCCCTTGAAACCCTTATTCTACTTGCAGTCTCTGTAGGTTCATCACACCTGGGTTTCATATGTTGAAAAACGGAAAACCATATAACACAACTTCAAGAGGGTGCCCTCCAATGACACGACACCTCTGAGGTATCCACACAGAACAGTACAATTTCGGAAACCAGATCAAGTCTAGCCTGCATCATGAAGGGGGGTGGGGATATACTGACAATGTTTTAACTGTTCAATTCCGGGTTACACCTTTGATTAAGAACACTTAGTTAATGATCTCCCTGGTATGGAAATAGAAAAGTACTCATTGGCTAATCAAAGGGTCCCATGGTGTCATTGTGCCTTAAACAGTTGGTCAAGGGGGGGGTTTTCAATTTTTGCTTACCACAAATACAATTGACATAAAATGAAACACATGATTTTTGACTGTTCAGTTTGATGAGCTTTGTTTATGCTAGGAGCCCTGGTGACGTAGTGGTTAAGTGTTGGGCTGTGATCCTCAAGGTCAGCAGTTGGAAACCACCAGCAGCTCCTCGGGAGAAAGACTGGGCTTTTTACTCCTGTCAACGTGACAGCCTCAGAACCCCACAGCATTGACTCGATGGCAGTGAGAACCATTATGATAATCAATATATAGAATATTTACATCAATCAAAAAAATCCTTTCCTGTAACTTTTCAGCGAGTCCTTCTACCTTAACCTGGCCCAGACAACCAGTTACCTGCTTTCTTGACTTCTGGATTCGTTTTTTGCCTTCTAGGATTATGTGCCAGCCTAATCGAATAGTATAGTCCACACACTTCGTATAATCTGAACTCTTCTGTGGCTGACATTTTTTCTTCAGTATAATTATCTTGAAAACATCCAGGTTGTTTTGTGAAGTTGCTGGATTCTTTGTATTGCTGCTGCTTACGATGTATACCTGCTCACGGACCTGTGGATTGTTTCCAGGTGTTTTTTCATTAATATGAATCAACTGGCATTCAACATTTCAACA